CAAAATGGCACTACAGCATGTAAAAATATAAAGTAAGCTCTGGCGGACTTGGTTCTATGGTAGGTCTTAAAGGGTTAAATATATAACGTCGGTACATGTATTCCGTTACTCCCCAACACTGCTCATGGTCATTGATTAGTGGTCTTTGACCAGTGAGCTTTGATCAGTGGTTGTGGATCAATGGTCAGGGGAATTTACATATTAATGATCAAGGAACTGACCTCCCAGCTGATTGTTCATGGAGTGGTGCTAGTTTCAGTCATTATGCAAATGTTATGTTTATAAGATTGGGGAAACCTGCAGTCATCTGAGACTGAAGAAGTCACTTGGATGAGTGACAAAACGTTTCTCCCACTAAAGATGCTATACAATGACTGACAGAGGACTTGCATCTATTATGATACTAGACCTGATGCAGAAACTGAATTGTAAGATTTTCAGGGTTAGAGGGAGTAATGTGCAAGTCCTGGCAATGTCAACAGAAGCAAATAAGGCAGTGTATACAATGTGCCATTCAGCACATAAGTAATCAAATAGTTTCTTCAGCAGTGGTGGAGACCAAAACAGAAGTAAAATGACATGGAACATTTAGAGATACAAATACAAATAATGGAGGCTAATATTGTTCTCTGTCTTTGAGATGCATGAAAAGAAAACTTCCATCATGTTTCCCAGATTAACTCCAGATGCACTTGGGTTGTAATAATGTGATCACAAATGTTTTTCCGTTATTATTTCTCAAAGTTGCAAAGAGATGTTTTGTCTAGTGATGGGATTTCCGGCTCTTTTTAGAGAACCGGCTCTTTCGGTTCGGCTCACTAAAAAGAGCCGGCTCTTTCGGCTCCGAACCGGCTCTTCAGGTTGTTTTGTTGCTTTAATTAATTTATTATTGACAATAATATAAAATTATGCACAAAAGAAATTACTAATGTAAAAAAAAAAAGTGGTTTTATTTATATATGTCTATATATAAATATATGCAGTGGCCCCTAGAGACAAAACACGTACAAACTCCAAAACACATTTCTAGCATGAACTAAACTTCCAAAACAGAGCTACCTAGATCACTTAAATTACACAATTGAAAGCATGAAAGCATATGTGTATTGTTTGTGTATTTATACACAAGCATTCATATATAGTCAAATAATAAAAAAAAAAAAAAAAAGTTCATTTACCTGTTATTACCATACACCAAATCCGGTCGTTGGTACTTGCTGGCTTGTGTAGCCACTAGGTAACAAAAGTTCAACACTGCACACTAGCATCCTGGAGCACTTCTGTTGTCTTTTGTACGTGTTTTGAGTTTTTATGTGCTTCTGAGTTTTTACGTGTTTTTGAGTTTGTACGTGATTTGTCTGTAGGGGCCACCGTAAATATACTTTTTTTATTCACTCCACATAAAATGTAATAAATAAATAATTTAATACAAAAATCAACTATTCACATTTCAACTTTTAACTATTTAAATTTTCATTTTTTTCCCTCTACAAATTTAAAGTGAAACAACACAAAACACTGCAAACCACAACACAATTAAATATAAATTATAATATGAAAACAAAAAGAAGATGCATATTCTCTGTCATATGGGCCTGCATGAATAAACTTTCTGAATCCTTTATCATCTGCAACTGAAAATAGTTGTGGATGATTACTATACCTTTCTAATGTGACGTTGTTGTCCCTGGCTCTCTTTCTCTGTCTCTCCCTCCCTCCGCTCTGTTCCTGTGCTACTGAGTGTAACTACCGCCCCTCCCCCCTCTGCCCAGCGCAAAGCACAAAGCTCGCATGCGCTGGCGAAGTGAAGCGGAAACAAAGTGCGAGAGAGAGGGTGAGAGAAAGAAAAAAACAACCCACGGCTCGCGATAAAGAGACGGCTCGCGTCGTTCACGTCAAAGACTCGGCTCTAAGAGCCATTTCGTTCGCGACCGACCCATCACTAGTTTTGTCTCAAGTTCATTTCATTTCAAACAGAGTGTGAGCCCTTTTTAAGCGTTAGGCATAAAAGGCTGAGGGTATTGTTGTTGCTCCACCATTGAGGGCACTTGAGTTTGAGAATGCAATAACTCAAGAATTAAGTCATCTTTATTTAGTCAAATTTATACCATACCTGCAACATAGGAGGCAGGGGGTAGCACTGGTGGCTGCCAATATTTATTTATTTTTTGTTAAGATCAAAAGTGCTTCAAAAGCTTCTTCTCTTTTGCAGGAAACATACTGAATCTGGGTTGGTCCTTCACTGCTCCAGCCACCATAACTGGGTTAAAAGGGTCATGTCTCACCATTCCATGCAAATTCTCCTACAAAAACTCTCAGCCTAAAGACCTTGAAGTTATATGGTACTTGTATCACAGGAACGAATACCCAGCTGTATACAACCAAAAAGGGACAGTTATTAGAAAGTTTAATGGTCGAACAAGCTTGACTGGATCAGTAACTGAGAAGAACTGTAGTCTTAAGATTGAAAGGCTGGAGATGTCAGACAACCATAACCAACTTTATCCATGGATAGAAAAGAACACAATTACTTCCTACCACACCAAAGGTCACTCATTTTATGATGGATCTACTGAACTTATTGTTTCAGGTAAGCATTAATTAATTTCTTCAATTCAACTTTAATTCCATTGATAGACATCCAAGTTACTACAGAAAGAAACCCTTACCATGACAAACTGAGTCCTCTCTGATTTATTTTTTATTTATTATTTATCTGTATTTTAGTTTTGTGCATGTATAATTTGCAATTTGCCTCAGCATATAAATTGTAGTTAGAATCTTTAGCTTTTTCCTGGCACAGTGTTGTCTAAACCCAATAAATGTATTTCAATAACACTTAAAACTACAATACTTATTAGAGCAGGGCGATATGGCCAAAAATATTTATCACGATATATATTTGAAAATTTGCGATAACGATATAAC